TCTTAGGTCAGAACCTTACTGAGGGCCAGGGAGATGGCTCAGTAGAATAAGCACTTGCCTGGCAAGCGCAAAGGTCTGAGTTCAATCCCCAGTTCCACCAAAAAATAAAAAAAAAAAAAAAAAAAAAAAAAAAAAAAAAAAAGACTTAGAAAAAAAAGGCTGATCCTCTGGATACTTTTCAAAGAAAGATACAACATGTATTACGTGCATAAAAGAATATGCTTAACATAGTCAAGGAAAACCATAAAATAAAAGCTAGATGACAAATACTGGCAAGCAGGTGAAGCTACTGGAGCCTCTTATACTACTGGCAGGAATGAAGAACAGTACAGGTGCTTTGGAAAACAATCTGGCAGGTTCGAGCTACATAGCCAAGAGAAAATAAAAACACAAAAACCAGCATAGAAATATTCTAATAGGATATAATAGCCAGAAACAATTCAAGTGTTTACAAACTGATAAATGGCTATACAAATCTGGCATATCTGTACAATGAAATAGCAAACACCATGCAACCATAAAGAATGAAACCGAGCCAGGTAATGGCATATTCCTGTGGCTTATCGTGTGTGTGTGTGTGTGTGTGTGTGTGTGTGTGTGTGTGTGTGTGTGTAATGCTGGGGATCAAATGCAAGCCCTTATCAAGCAACAAAATAATTCATCACTGAGCCACATCACCAGCCCCTGTAGCCTACCTTATAAAACATGTATCGTAATACGGTACAACACGAAGGTGCCTTGAAAACATGCCAAATGAAAAACATCCATCATAAAAGATTACACGTTCTTATTCACACGAATGTCTGGAACAGAGCTATCTATGAAGAGCAGGTTAGTGGTTGCTCAGGGATGGACACACGGGATGACAGTGAAAGGGCAGTGAGATTTTTCTTGGGGATTGGTGAGGACAAATGTTCTAATTGCGTGATGATGGCAGATATTTGACTATATTAAAAGTCATAGAATTGCCATTGAGTGAACTGTTTATGTCAAGGCTTTTTGAAAAAGTGTAACTACCATAGCTGAGAATAGTTGCTGGACATGGCTGATTTATATCTATTATTTGAAGAACTGTCAGGCCTCAGCATTTCTACCTTATAGAAAAAGAAACAGAGGCTCAGAACACCCTGCCTCTTAAAAGGAAGACACCATGAAGTTGGTTCTCTCTTCTGACAGGTATTATAAAGCTGGTTCTCTGATCCCACAATGAAGCTAAAGACTGGGTATGGAGTCCGAAAATTAGGCAAAGTACAGGTCACCCAGGCAGTTCTGAGCAGGGAGTAACATGACACTAGTTTCTTCCTTTTTTAAGACAGGGTCTGACTGTAGTTTAGGCTGGCTTTGAACTCACTCTGCAGCCCAGGATAATCTTTAACTCATGGGTTCAAAAATCTCATGCAAGATCACCCCAGTATGATTACTGTTGGAAGTCCGCGCTGCTCCTTGTTGTACTGTCCCTACCCAAATTTTACTGACCTTTTATAATCATTTCAAATATTTTTATCTCAATCTTGGAAGCAATCAATATCATCTAGGTAAAATTAACCAGATTTTTCTCTGCATGTTATTTTCCTTACTACTACAATAGTATGTACCTTAGTACATGATTCTCTAGTAAATTTACTTACATTAGGACAGATGCTGGATTTTCATTCATTTCCTCAGTATTTAGCAGTATTTGATTTATATAGAGGCAAAAGTCTGTGAGCTGGGTCAGGTCATGAGAAATGTATTTTAAAATTTAACCAATGCATTGATATGTGGTTGTTCTAAGGTCCTAGAGTGTACTTCATGTTATCCGTAATTGTTGTAGCACTATTTTATTATACAAATTCATCAAGAGTGTACAGAGTTCACTTAGAACTGAATTTGCCTATAGCCTACTTTTACAGAGGGGAAAAAATAGAAACAGGCACAATACATCTGTAAGTGTCAAACTGTATTGGTTTAAACAAAATCATTAAGTTGACAATATAATTCTCTTGTCAATTTTTTTTATTGTGCTACTTGTGCCAAGGAAACTGTTTATTGAATTAGGCTTAGACCATTAAAGTATTCTTAACAAATTCATTTAAATAAGTTTCATATTCCAGAAATGACAAGCAGCTTAAATACAAGTTTGATAACTATCATTTAAAAAATTAATAAAATCAAAGTCAGTTAAATCTTCAACAAGGCAATGTAACATTTACCACTAACCTGACTAAAAGGTCGCACTCGCACTGCTACTTTCACACCATCAGTACTTGGCATAGGCATTTTCATCATTTTCTCGTTATCCATACTCTTATTTTGTAGAAAAATAATGTAGAAACCACACTGCTACACTTCACACGAAAACATTAAAAGCTTAGCTGGCAATGGCAGTTTGTTTCCAGATGATCAATTATTAACAGTCCATTCATTACACACTATCAATTACCTGTCATAAATTATTTTACAACACTTACTTATTGATGAACTTCAGAGCCTACATCAAGTATCATTACTTAATTGCACACAGTCGTACTGCAGAGAAAAGGGTGCGCTCGTCTTTCCTTGCTCCACATCTATTCACACTCTTCCCATTCTCAATAATTTTTGCCTGAGGTCCTGTGATAATTTGCCAGTTTAAAAAACCTGAATAAGGGATTTTTGTGATTCAGTAGCAAGCTGCTCCACAGAAAGATTATAAAATTTGTTCAGACTTCTCTACTTATCAATAGTAGGCACATTCAAAGTGCACTGAATGTCCATAAAACAGATTTATCTCAGATTCTTTCATGAGGTTGCTAATAAGCAGTGAACCGGTCAATCTAACCTGGATAATTAGTCTCTGAATTAAAGAGACTTTAAAGATAAATAGTTTTAAGCTTGCTGAACAAGAAATGTCAACATTATAGTTAACCCAATGCATTACTTGGAAAATTACTCATCTGAGGTAGATTACACCAAGTTTGTGAAACTACAAAAAGGCAGCAAAATTACATGCCCATACTTGTTTCAACATTGTAACAGGCAACAAATAAAAATACATATTATGATTAGAAATCTTAAATCACAGAATCAAAGTGCATAAATTATAAAATAGCAACTTTAAAAAATCAATAGCTCAATCATTCTCATTTTAAGATTGGTCTAATATTTCAACTATTGAGAATGAAAATAGGACAAAAGCTACCAGCATATAAAAATTATTAAAACAGAAATCCCCTCTCAAAAATCTAAGAGACACCAACTACTGTGAAGTATATATTTTATTTAACATTCCAATAATAAGCCATATTTACATATTATATAAATGTATGAAGTCTTAATATAAAATAGAAAAAATGCCTGGACTAAAAGAATTACTCCATATGGAGTTATTTTACCTACTGAAGACCTCCTGTTTACAAAAATTTACAATAATTTATATAAATATCTTCTTCCGAATTAAGATGATTTTTAATTCACACAATTCTGATGACTTTACAAATAAGGGTACATTAAAAGCTTGGAAAAAAATTACAGCATTTTCCTGCGTAAAACTTGCTTTGGGAAGGAAGACGGTTTCTTCCCCCGCCTTCCAACAGCTTTTCTCGTTACTTCTGCAGCTTTTCTTGGTTTGCTCTTTACGCCATCGATTGGGCTTGCCAAGGGAGAAATCAGCTTAATTTTTACTGGAGAAGGTGACCAAGAACTGTCTTTTTCTGTATTTCTGAAAGAATATACAATCAAATGAAAATACATTATATTGGAAATATAACTGGTTTCTCAACATTGTGAAACTGTTATTACGGTTAATACTTCCATTTTTTAAGAGAAATAATGGTTTCAATTCATGTAAGCTAATTAGAGGCAGAGTTTCACTTATGACAATTTTTGATTGGATATTTAAAAACTTTCACTGCTAAATGTTTCCTTTAAATGTTGTGTATATATTAATAAAATACTGCTGAAGTATAAGGATGAGCCACTAGTGTAATAGCAATTTACAGAGGTCCAGCAGGCCAGGCCCCTGGAGCTATAGAAAAATGACAATTTGCCAACACCAACAACTGGCAAATGTATGTGTCATTTCAAAACATGAGGTAGTTTTTCAAATATACATAAAGCCTACTTATAAGAAGACAGTATTCTTAATAATGGTAGACAGTCACTAAATCAGTTTTAGAGTAAAATAAAATACATTAGTATGTTCTTTTACTAAATACAGCCATGGCTAGGCACTGCATTGAAAAAAACACTGTGTACCAAATATATCTGAAAGAAAGTGACTTCCCAGGATGTAGTTTTACTGCTAGCAGTGAAATAATTTCTTGATTTTTAAAGTTTATAATTATTAAAATTTATCTAATGAAAAGGTGAACCATCCCATTTCCTCGCCCAGTCACATATTGCAGGTATTGAACTACCTCAAATCCACCAAACTTCAGAATAGCACCAGCGGACTTTGATGCTACAGAGAATCCACCAGCAGCATCAAAATATAACAAAGTAAAGGAGCAAGTGCTATTATCAACCTCGAGAACTACCCTTTTGCAATGAGCTTAATTTCTTTTTAAATATTACTTGTCTCAATTCTAATCTGCAAAAACAAAACTGTTAGATATTACAGAACAGAAAGTTGAACTTACTTGTTTGTCTGCTTTGTTTTTGTAGTCCTAACTTTCTTCACTTCTTGCTCCCCCATAGTTTCTACTGGTTTAGCATCATCTGCCTATGGGTTAAAAATTTTAACAGGTAAATCACAACTAAATATTTGAAACTGGAATTAAGTCTTATTCCAAGTCATGGAGTATAGTCAAACAATTCTAGTAAGCTCAACAAGTCCCGAATGGACTACTTTTGATTTGTCAGCAGAAATCTTAGGTCAGAACCTTACTGAGGGCCAGGGAGATGGCTCAGTAGAATAAGCACTTGCCTGGCAAGCGCAAAGGTCTGAGTTCAATCCCCAGTTCTGCAAAAAAAAAAACCCAAAACAAAACAAAACAAAACAACCACAAAAAAAACTTACTAGGTGTGCTCTTTATTGTGTACTTTTACAATTCAACTATTCTTCATGTCTTATCAGTTGCCACTGCCATGCTTTTGTGTCTCTGTATCTGGTTTTTTCTAGGCCAGAAATATCTGTCTCCTCTACTTTCTGTTTAGAGGTGTCCAGGCAGACAAGGTTTTGATTATGCAGGGAAATAATTATTTGTGATTTTGGTTCTTCAACTGAATTCAATTTCTATTAACTGCTGACTTATTTTTATGTTAAACCTTTACACAGTAACTGATTCATGGTAGGTAATTCAATAAATGCTTACAAACTAATATTCGTAAACATAAGGGACTCAATTTAGGTAAAATTTTCATTTACACAGCTAGGTCACTGAATTATCTGGTGCAGTCTTTCTCCAAGGGAACTTTCCAAATGAGAAAACAGGACTTTAAGGATGCACATTTTAAATAAACAGATTAATTCAGGAAGGCACTCAAATTTAAAACCGTTTTTCCTAATAGGTAACTCAAATTAAGGCTGCCAGTAAGTAATGTATCAGTAACATATTATAAATCTGTTTGAAAGCAGACTCTCCGAAGATAGGCATAGACAAGATAGTTTTGGGCTGTTGGCATAAATGGTATCTTAGTAGAGAATTATATTTAGGAAATATTTACTTGAAAAAATAAAAGAATATTTAGGCAAACACACAGAAGTACTTCCTTACCAGTTCACCTACAAGCCTAGATGTACTGGATATGCTCTTTCGCTTGGTCCTCAAAGTAGGAGGTGAGAAGACAAACTGAGCAGATAAATCTGAAACTAGTTCTTTCAGCTGTGTAGGAGTCTCTATTCTTTCAGCTAGAGAAAAGTTAGGGAAACAAAATCAACACTGTATGTATATCTTTAAAATATATGCTTTTATACATGTATATGTCAACAAAAAGCTTAATGCAAATGATGACCATTAAAAAGATCCAAATATTACCAAACGTAGAAAGCACAAGTTATCTTAATTACTCATATTAGGAGGGAGAATGGGGTGTGTGTGGATGAATCCTAGTGTCACTGTTCTTTAGTTATAATATTGCTTCTCAAATGTTTGGGGAAAGTGTTAATTGCAAATATGATCCAAGCTAGTCTGTATTATAATTCTTAGACAAGACTTTCAATTACACAGTACTGTTTGCAAGAAAAAGATTTACATTCTCTTTTCAATTTAGTCTGAGCTACTTGTTCCAGTCAAAAGGAACAGCAGAAAAGTTTCAATCATAAAAGGAAATGGTAAGCAGAGAAAGTAATTCTGCTTCAGTTTCTATAAAACAGGAGTAATGCAACAGCTATCTCAAAGGTTATCTGAAGATTAAGCTAGCCATGGTGGCACATGCTTATCATCCAGCTGAGGCAGGCAGAACACTCAAATTCAAGGCTAGCCTGGTTTACACAGCGAGTTCAAGGCAAGTCAGAACTGCACAGCAAGACTTTGCCTCAAAACAAAACCATCTCCCCCAAAAAAAGAGTATCAGCACCACCATCATCATCAAAGGCATTCTGAGGTTAATAGATCAGAATACCATGTGGCATACATTTAAGTATAGGCTTTGCAAGTAGGCTTTTGCATGCTTTATTATTTTTTAAGAATGCAAATCCTTAACAGAAACTCTCAAATTATATTTCAGTATTATTTATTTAACCTATGGGGACAGAATTCTACCAGATGTCAGACTCTGCATTTAAGCATATGATTCTTAGCAACAGGAAAAAAAATAGGGGCCATACCAAGACTAAAGCTGTAGGCGCAAGTTGAAATGCCTAGCATTATTGATGACAAATTCCTCCTTTTGGTGTTAAAAATTCAAATATTTCTATGGAAATAATTTATGTATTTCAAATTGTGATCATTTTACCTCAGCCTCCCAAGTAGCTGGGAATATAGACATGTATTACCTAAACAAGCAAAAATGATGCATTCCGTCATTTTTCCCATGCATTAACAGTGAAACCTTTTGTGTACCTAAACTATCATCATGGAACTATTTTAGGCTTCACTCTCTTTTTCCATTCTCACCTTTGTAGACATTAAAGAATAGTTCTTCCCTACAGAATCATTTTCCCCCCATGAAATGTTAAAAGCACCAACAGACTATACAGCTGTCTGTGTACTCCAGGGTGGGTGTGTGTGTACTTTATACATAAAAACAGATATTTTTACTCTTTTAACAGCAGTATCACCTTTATTGAGGTGGTCTGAGCTATACCAACCAATGTAATCACTGGCTCATCAGTGACAATGAATGAGCTTGGGTATGTAAACATACTAATTTGTGGAAAATAATGAATACTGATTTCATTAA